ACACGGTTTGTTCGTGTGTGATTTTTGAAGAAGAAAAAACACACACATCATACAGAGCATCAACCTGTGTGCACCTCTTGATCATATCGATTCAAATATGAATTCCAAATTTATTGACATTTTTGAATATGCATGCAACTTCTTCTCAAATTATATACAGTAGCGTAGCAGCAAATAAGGTAAGTCGCGGCGACAACCAATCGAAAGAATCGCTGGAATCAATGTTCATAAGTGGAATATGATTGGCAACACCAGAATGAAGAAAAAAAACCAATTCAGTTGACAGAAACACACGCCGAGATAAGCAATATGATTAAGAAAAAAAAGAGTTCGGAAATTAACGGCTAGTCACCTTTCTACTTCATCTTTACACATGTTTTAAAACTTAAAAATAAAAACGAAATAACCAAGACCCTATTCTCAGCGAGAATGGCCACTGTGAGAACTGAGAAGACCAACCATATTAACGATTTTTATAAATATTCATCATATAAATAAACAGACTGGATGATTTAAATTATAATTTATTTAGATGTTTCACTTCTTTTTTTTTTTATATGTTTCGTGCCAGCATTAAGAAACAAAAGAACAAAAAATTAACGACAATTTTGTTTAGTTTGTTTGTTTTTTATACGCATTCGAAACACGATATTTATATGAATATAAAAAGATGAACGGAATTTGGTTGAGAAAAGTCCAATTAGAAGAAGAAATGTCAACCAATGAATAAAACTATCGATTCGAGCACGGCCATCGGTTCACACACACAAAACCGAAAATTAAAATGACTTAGTAATGGTCACCGCGCTCGAAGAACAGGTAGATAATTTTCATATTATCAACGCCAATAAATTAATTGAAATTAATGAAATAAACGATTTAATAAATCTGTGGACTATTGGATGCTTGTTAACCAACATTTTATGACTTTTGCTTCTACATTCTCATATTCGTTACGGTTGTTTAATAAATTGTGATAAAAAACAAACGCACAAATCGTAAGCGGTTAGAAAAACAACCGAATATCATAAAGACGAACTGATTTTTTTGTCTTGAATATTCAATCTTGGTTGATTTAATCAATAGATTTTCTTTTGTATTCAAATTATATTAATTTCTCATATAGTTAGCAGATGTGCTTTTCATACAGTTGAAATGACTCAATTACATAGTAACATATCAAATGTATTATTCTTTTGAATTGTTTGCGAAATGCAAATTTTCCGAATGTTTGTTTTAAATAGCGGGCACAGTTTTTTCTTAACGGTTACTAAATTACAAAGTAAGAAGTGATTATCAGCTTTTATCGGGCCACAATTCTTGTCGTTCTAGATTGATGCAATATAATCTTGAAAAGGTATACATACGTGATAAGAACAAAGGCACTCGATAGGTTGTTTCTTTTATTCCTTTCTCAAAAGCAATAAATAATTTGAACGGTAATACTAAAATTAGCAAATTATGTTAATTTAATGATCGATATACTATCTGCGTTGACTTAAATTCTATATGGTTGTGTTAAATTTGATGTTAATGCTATTTTTCGCATCTCCGTTAAAGAGTTTATTCAGTTGGCCATTTGATACAATAGAATTGGTTTGGATGCGATAAATTTCATTTCAATTGAACAATGGATCTTCGTTCATGCATATTCAAACATCAGAGAGAGAAAGAAAGAGATAAAACTGCGATAAAAATCCATCGCATTTTGACGAGACTAAATATACACTCACTCATATAGTAAATGATGTCATTTGCAAGTGCCCTTGCACATTTTTTTTCTTCTCTTCGCTTAATTATTCCGTTTGAAAATTGTCCAATCAAATTAACCGAAAATAATGAATAATTTTTCTTCTGTGTCTATGCTGTCGATTAAATCAAATTAAAATGCATTTGAAAAGTGGCGAACAAGAAGTGAGCACAGTGAAAACATGTCATATATATATTTTCGTTGACTTCAATTAGTTCAAATGTTGATTCGGTATGGTTGATAAGAACAGAAAATTGTTTGTGTCCTCAATAATTATTGGCACATATCGCGGTTGGTCACGTTGTTGTTGTTGCTGTTGATTTACACGTTAGTTGTGATGTGCGAAAAATATATTTGAAATTGAATGAATTGAAAATGGCTGGAAAAGAATGAGCGTAGTTTTTTTTTATTTTAAATTCTTCTTTAAAGCCGCGCGCGTCCCAAGAGCTTACATTCATTAGCACAAATGAATTGATAGCACTTATAAGCAAAATACATTGTGTTTGGAGTGAATAAATAAACAGTTTTTCAATCGAAATGGACGCGATGAACATGGCGCATGGCATAAATGACTTTGTTAAGCAGAATATTAATATTGTATTTATTGCTTGCCACTAATAATGGACATTAAATAGATGCATAAAAATTCAATTCATAAAATAAAAGTTTGCTCCGCATGTGCCCACTATTTGCTTTACAATCATTCTTCCTTTTTGTGCACCGTAGCCGCGCGCGCTCTATACACACACACAGCGAAATATGAAAATTATTCATACTAATTTTTTTGTAATTAGAGAAATAAACAATGAAGTGAGCGCGAGCGAAATGCACATCGTGCTCAGCAAATAGCGTGTGATGAGCAATTTTGCGCGAGGCGCAAACGCGAACGTGCGCTTGCTCCGCCAATATGTATAGTGTGAGAAAAAAAAAATTGTGAATATAATTATTGATATTCGATATACCGGACACACCGTTGTATAGATAGGGATAGAATGCCACCAGAGAGACGGGCGAATACAAATTGCAATTGAACGAATGCAACCATTCCGCACAATGACGACAACGTAGAACAATGAAAAAAAATTGTTTCAACAATGTGTTCTCTCCTCACTCTACCTACTTTTATACCGCTTTTTCGTTCGTATTTATTCTATAAATTATTAAATTATTATTAATTTCAAGGTAAATGAAGTGTGCTTTTAACGGAGATAACAACAAACTGAATAAAAAATGAACATTATTTTATGTTTGCATTATTTTTTTTCGCGTCTATATTTGCGGCTATTTTGTTTTTCTGCTGTATGGTCAGGTATTTTTGTGTTGATGTATTTGTTTGACCCTTCATTCTTCACATTTTTATATTTTTTTTTTTTGAGATTTGTGCGTTTTAATTATATACAGAATGCACGGATTAGGTGTGAATCACGCGTACATATTTCATAAAAGAGATGTTAAAAAAGACAAATGCATTCCGAATATTTGATATTAAAAAAAAAGCTTGTAAAAAATGCACATTCTATCAAACCCATTCATTTTTTTTATTCATTTTTCTGACTAAATTATTGTATCATCTCTGTCATCTTCAATTGCGAAATCTGTTTTCACAACTTCCGGTTTTAAAACTCAATAACTTTTTATTGACGTAATGAAAATGATTCGTGTTTTTTTTCTATAAAAGCAACAAAACCATTATGGTTTTAGTGCTGTTAGTCATCCATTGTACTTGTTCATATCATTTTTATTTACGGAATCATTAAAAACGGTCTTTTTGTGCTTGAGAGAGAGACAACCCAAAACAAAAGACGTTGAACCGAGTTTTTGTTTTATTTATTTCTATGTTCTTGAAATTTTGCCAATATACAGTGCTTGCAAGCGCTCAAAGCATGTGACTATTAAGGGCGTATCACAGCTCGTTACATAAGTAATTGCGAGTGAAGAATATCGCAAGGAATTGATACGAATTGAAATTAATTTTGTTAAGAGCAGAAAATTAACTTTTGGAATCACTTTAACTCCATGAGAAAATCAACTTTTGTTTGGCCATTTACACGAAGAACTTTTTTCTCCAGAAGTTGCGCCAGAACTTTTTTTTACTCTCAAAAAAATCGAAATCGGCAATATTTGAAGAAACGGCCACTGAAAAAGTATCGAAAAGTCAGATGTTGCGCATTTTGTATTAATTTACCATGTATAAACATGAGTCTGTGGGTATGGTATTCGGTAGCATATTTTTGTATACATCTTTGATGCAGTGCTGGAAATACACTTCGATATGCATTCGACACAAAAATAATAATCATTCTAACACGCCCCTCAATCAGTTCGTCTAATTTATTTATTTTTTGTGCATCCTTTGAATTTCGTTTCTTGTCCATTTCCCAGTTCCAATGGGCTTGAAAGCAGAACATATTGAAGCGAAATGATATATCTTCCAAAGTTCGCGGAATCATATCACAAAAGCATTTTGATCCTAGTAATTTAACCAAACCAAATCGCAGATCGTCGAAAGCTTTGCTACTGTAAACGATGTGAACACATATGTTTTTATTCATATTTTTTTCTTCAAAATATGGCGTTTTCTTTCGAAAAGTCAAATCCGTTTATTGTCTATCCGAATATGGTTTTGTTTTTTATTCGATCAATACATGTGTTGCTCGTTTGCGACATAATTTTGTATTCACGAACAAAATTGTTGATGTCTCATTCCAAAATGCCTCTTTTTGGGTTTTCCGTATGTATTTATTCCTTTGAGTTTGTTTTTTTTTGTTCTGTCGAACTTAATAAGAGGGGTTGTTCACCTTATTATGCGAAAGGCACAACATTCACAAATCATATGGTTTGTTCATGGTTCAATTTTGTTTGTTGATTTTTCGTATATAAAAGTACAGTATTCTACGACGACGATTTATTGTCACGAATGTAGGAAAATCGTATGTTATAATTTTGGAATTGAGTTTTTATTAACATTTCGATGGTAAAACACTCGAGAAAAATAGAATTTATAGAAAACCGCCAACAAGTTTTATTAGGTTACCATATTGCTCATTTGTTGACATACGACAATTTTTATTCGATGAATTTTCCCTTTGTTCTTTTATGAAATTACCCTTTATATGGTTGAAGATAAATCGATTTTGTTTTTCGGCTTTTTCAATGCAATTTTCATGTATACGAATCGAGAGGATTCAAATGGCATATGATATATTTTGCAAAATAAAAAAAAATGAAAATAAACTTTAGTGCAACTTACCAGTCTTCTTTTCGGTTTAATTAAAGGTCTGTTTTGTCCATTCATTTTGTAATAAAGTCCACATGCATTACACAAATAATGACCAGTGCCGTCTCGTCGCCATAATGGCGTTGATGTTGCACCACAATTTACGCACTCTCTACCCTCTGTGAAATAGAAAAAGAACAGCAATTTACATTAGATACAGGGTGCACTCTGCACTCATCGAAATGGTTCCGAGTCGAAGCGGAAATCGAGGCGATTTCATTTCGACAATATATTTCGATTTTCACAACGCAACGACGGAAACAAAATCATGTAGGGAAATTTTCACATTAAAAAATTCGTGTACCAAATGGCGAAAAATTTGTGTTACATCGAAATAAATTCTAAATTTTTTACATTTCTCTCTCGTTTACTAAATATCCGTTTTATCGTTCGTCAACTACATGATTTTGTTTCCTGTATTAATTACATAATCATATCGATATGTTGCAAATTACTTAGACTATTTTTTTCGCTTACAATTTTTATAGTGCACTATTTAAGTTAATATTACAATCATTCATTATTGTTATTATGGATTTTTGTTTTCGCTTCTCCTTTTTCTCTGTCGATTTAAATTTAATAATGGAAATTTATGTAAACTACCTGAAGCACAAACACACGCGTGTACTTGCAATGTGTATACAATGTAAAGTGAAACACAAAGAAAAAAATTAAATGCAAAACATTGAACATTTTATCACGCAATGTGTGAGACTATATGGGTGTGCTTTTTCGATACATAAACACAACAACATACAAATACTATCAATGAACTTTCAATGCAATAAATGTAAAATGGAAAAATAGTGTGTCTTTTGTTTCTATTAAAATATATATAAAAAAAATTCATTCATTTTTTTTGCAAATTTCATGAATGAATGGCCACTTTTCTGAATTAACTAGTTTAACTAGTGTAAGCATTTTTGAGAATGAACTTTTTCTAAGAAATATTTGCGGTTAAAATTGTTCTGAAGATGAATTACGTAAATCTCTAATCTTGAGGTGTGTACAACATAATAGTGTCTTGTTTCAAAATTGTACTACAAAATTACACTTATTCAAAAAAAAAACAGATGGGTAGTCGTGGACACTTTGTTTCTTCTAGATGAACGACTCTAGGTCAAGCTTGTGCCGAACAGGCCAATGGCATAACATATTCGTACGACGCACGAACAACGAACACCCGAAATGTTCAGCAATGGAACGCATTTCTTCTCGTTCTCGCTCTTTCTTACAGTCGTGCGCTGTGCGTTTTCGTTTGTTATGCCAAACAGGAAAATTACGACCTCGGATCATTAAAAAGCTGATTTATTAGCAGTCACAACGGTTTTTTATAGTTTGTTTTACCTTTTTTTCCCTTATGCTTTCTTCTACAACAAATTCTCATTTTATTTTCAATTTTTAACATCTTTCGTTGACATCGTGATTTGGTTGACTATGCCATGCGTACACCGTTTTATTCAACGAAAATTTTCGAAAATTGTTTTCTTCTTTTCAACCTTTGGAAATGCTTTTCCCTTTACTTCAAATTAAACATTGTGTGGTTTTTGTATCGTCTTTCATTTCACGAAAATCACGGTATTCCATTGGGTGTACGATAAATAAATTAATAAATTTCATTGGAGACAAAAACTACATGGCGTCTGAACGATCATGGACGAAATGAAGAAAGATGTGGAACAAAAGCCGTGACTACGAAGCCAAGTGACAGTTGCTACTGAACACTTTCAGTTAACATGTGGTACGATATAGAAACTCATCTATTTTTCATCATTTGATTTGTTTGTGTCTAGTTTCGAAGAAATCAACCTTTTCTATTTTTATTATTATTTTATGTGTTTGTGGAAACTCTAATGATAAATGAACAGTTTCTTCGTTGACCATTCAGCAGAAAATTGTTCATTATTTTTGAGCGTTTGTCATCCAAAATTGACTATGAAATTGTATTAGTTTTTTCTGTATTCATATCGTTGATCACCAGAACATCATCGTTCGACTGCGTACAATGGCTTCAAAGTGAAACTAGCCATGCTTTAAATTTCTGTACTCAAACTCCATGATCGTTTAAACTCAGTGATTCATTGACATTATTTCGACTAAACTAATTATCTAAATTAGACCATTTTCACGCACAATTTACACGAAAAACATACAGTTTTTTTTCGATGGGCCATAGAAAAAAAAAATTTATTTTTTTCCACGGTATTTATCATCACGGTATTTGTACAGGTACGAGCAATACTCGCGGAATAATGAGCTGAATCGAAGGACAGTTTTAATTTATTTTGATTGATGCAAATTCAGATAAAAAAAATCCCCAAAGATTCTTTCGTAACTTTCGGTAGCACCTTTTGCTAGCTAGAAATTTTAAAATGATTAAAATTTGTATGACAATATGGAAATTCATACACGCATTCGTCGTGGTGATCAAGAAACACAACAACAACAACAACGAAAGACACGCTGTGAGCATAACTAAAAATTGAAATAAAAATGAAAAATAAACATTCAATCAAATAAAAACCAAACATAAATAAATATAATAAAAAAATTCACTGAACAAATTTATCGGAAACCATTTGGCACGATATGGTTTTTATTGCGCTTTTATGAGTAGGTTTTATTTAATAATTATATCGAAATATAATTAAAAATAGTTTTAGTGATTGTAAAAAAAAAATGTTTTCAATCAAATTGACCTTAAGAGAGCCATTAAGGCCTTAAGAGAGATAAAATGTGCGAATTATGCCACCATTTTAATGTGACAAATCTTTGTCGGTTTACGCACAATATAAAATAAACTGAATATTAATCAATTTTTCATTTATTTTTCATTCGCTCTCTGCTCGAGAGTACAAAAAACATTGAGTTTCATTGAAACTTGAAATTGAATTCAATACAATGTGAATATTCCGCGGAGAAAAAGCACAATTTTCAACGAAGATAACATTTATTTGTACGACCTGTGTTTTGCGAGTATAAAATTTGAATGTTTTTTTAGACCATAGTTTTTCTTGTCGAGAATGAGATAATGTTCGAATCGATGTATGTATTAAGCTCATTGATTTTTTTTTTGTTTAATTCGGTGTATCTCTTCCAATTTCGCATATGAAACAAAGGTAATAAATTTAAACACTATGAGCACCCGATTTCACATGGTCAATATATATCGTCGAACTACCAAGTTGAAGCGCAAACGGTATCAAGAGCATAAACACTATGTATATATCCAATTCACATTGGACGAGAGGGAATGAAAAAGAGGCGATCAACGATCGTTTTACAGATGAAAACAGGTAAAACATTGAATTTTTGGTGCCCTAACAACAATATTGTGGCAAAGTGATCATTTATTCTCTTTCGTTTTCTTTGCTTCTATTTTCTGATTTCATCGTTGGTGTTTTGTTTCAGACAATGAATAAAATTAAAACGATGTCTTTTCTTATGTTCGTCCTAACTGCATGGATGCTGATTTAGAGGTTCGCTTTCAACCATCATCGACCCAAACCGAAACAAGGTCTGAATTTTTATTTTATGTATTATGAATGTTTCTCGGTGTGTTTCTGTTGACCATATGATGATTAGAAATTGCGCTATGGTCACCTACCGGCACTGTAACATCATGAAATTATTAGAGAGAGAGAGTGAGATAGAGAATGGGAATGGAACAGTTCTAGTAACATGTTTTGATGACGCCAATAAACGAATTGAAGCGAATAGAGAGTATGGTTTAGGCAATTATGTGACGAATAATAAGAATGGGCATAAAAAACACAGTCACACACACACACAGGACAGTCGTAGAAAAATAAAACCTTAATGACATTTTGTTATTTATTTCATTTGTGCTTCTCACGCATACAGCCACAGATGCCAGTGCCCATTCTCTCCATATATATATTTTTTTTCTCGTTGTTTTGTTACTAAGAATTTCACAAAACAGAACTGTCACCGATAAAAAATATGTCCTCGATTTGGGCATTAAATTTTCGAATTTTATTCTTCGTCGTCTTTTTTTTTATTTCGGATAAATTCTAACCGCTTTCAGAAGAATTCATGTTTCCCTCCTTCGTATATCTGTTGTTGTTATTTTATTGTGACGTATCGATACAAATATTCGTACACAGAAAGAGAGAAAGAGAAACAAAACGGTGGAAAAGGAGGCAAAAGGGAGTTTTTGGCAGAGGTAATGAATTTAATGCATTTTTTCCTTCGATTTTCTTTTTAATTCGGTTTGGTTTATTGCGTGATCTTCTATTCGTTGTGAACAACAAATGAATACCTGATCTAATGTGATCGAATGAAATGAATACAACAATCAAGCTATAAATTCATTCATTTTGGGTTTGGTTCAGTAGTCGGTTATCGTATGGTTTGAATTTGCGGCGCTTCATTTTCAATGTGCACAACAAGCGATGCGTGAGTGCGCAGGTGCATTTTGTTTCGAACTGAAACATTTCTCAACTTATATGTAAGACGCGATGTTCTTACTAATGACAAAAATGTTTCTTCGTTTTTTGAACTTCTGTTCAAATGGCATCGTTACACAAATCGACATCATTTCAATTGAAATAGATTTTTGAAATGAATAAAAGCGCTAAAAAAATAGCGATAGGATAATGCAGTTAATTAATTGACTGCTAATTGTTGTACAACAGCAAAAGTCTATTTTTTTTCTATGAGAATTACTGGCATCAGAAACAGCTAGCGAAAAAAAAGAACGCATTTCTGGTACAGTGCACTATTGTGCGGTAAGAGTCGTTATAAGATCGGTCGATCGATATAGACCAGCATTGAATTGACCATCTTGATCAGAGTACGGCGATAAAAATCAATGTGGCCTGCGAAAAATTGTATGAAAACATCGATATATATTATGAATTATTTGATAATTTGTTTCGTTACACTCGTAACTCCTCACTCTCCATAAACCATTCATGCCTTGTTTTTTATCTATGTTTTTGTTTCAACTTTATATGGCATTGGGATTTTGATTGTTATTTTGTTGTTGTTGTTTTTTATATTCGCAATTCTTTTCGTTCTATGATGCTCGTTATATTGCTGCTGTGGGAATTTGTCGCTGTGCACCAAGATGCCAGAGAGTCTTTTGTGTTGCACAGAAAATGAAACAATGAGAAATACAATGTGCAAAAGGACCAGAGAGTTGTCGAGAGTATGCGAATACCCATAAAAATATGAATAAAATTGAGAACAATTACGAATGCGCCCGTATTATTTAATTAACATTGGCAAATACACACACTGATACACACACGTGGAGAGAGACAGAGACACAAAAAGAACAATGCACGATGGGAAGATAGTGAGCTCGAGTGAATGGTAATGATCGATTCGGTCGAACCCCATGTACAATTGGATACTTTGGTACATTTTGCAGCCGAAGCAAATATGATTACAGTCATTTCTGTGGAAATAAAAAAAAAACCGAAAGAAGAAGATAGCAAAGCACGCGAACTCTTGCCGTTCAAAGAATGATGGTTCACCTAAAATGTACATGTATATGTGTGTGCTGTATTTATATAGCCATGTCGATTTTTCTTCCTTCTGTTTAAAGTCACGTTTTTCGTTTTTCTTTTTCGTTCTATCGAGTATCGAAAATTTGTATATGTAAAAAGTTCATATATGTATGTTGTGTGTTTTGATGTTGCTTTTTATTAATAATGGTGTTTCAACCGTATTAAAAAAAAAGTGCACAAGACACAACTGTAAGGAACTGAAGGACTAGAAGTATCACACACAAAAAAAACTCTGAAGAGCACATTGAATGTGGTGTTGTTGTTGGTGTACGAAGATGTCATTCTGGCAATTTATTGTTTGTCTTTTTGTTGTATTTCGCTTTAATTACTTTGCTGCTACCAAATGACTAAACACGGACGTATGATTTCGATCGAAGGGGCTGCATCGAATGAACAGAATGATTCGAATGTTGACGACAGATAACTTCGTCGAGGGAGAACCAATATTGGGCAAACGAGAAGAACGGTTTCGATCTGAATTGAATTTATTAATTGGCCATAAAATTCACACGAATTGCTTGGTACATGTGTCACCACATAAGAATTGGGTGCGTGCATGCATCCAAAAACAGTCTGCACTTTGCAAGCACTTCGACGCAAGAGCAAGAGCGCAACAGAGAAAAAAAGGCGACCATAATCACTGAACATATGTAGCACTCTTGTAACGGTTTTGTAAATATTTTGTGTTCGTTCTTGTTTAGATCGTGCTCAAGATGGATTTCGCGCGTGTGGAACGACGAGGAAAAAAGGGAGAATAAACGCTATTAAGTGGTTCACCTTCGATATTTAACGAAATTTAATCCAGCAGCAGCAAACATGCATAGTGAGAAAATCATTGTACACTACACTCTTGTTGATTGTTCGTTTGAGAGAATTTCACGTCTTGAGAGAAATGCTACACACCAACCTTTGAAAACCTTATCAATGCTTGATGAAAAGAATGAATATAAAAAAAGCAACCACAATATTTTGACGTAAATTGTTAAATTATAAGTTCGGTGCGTTCGTTCTAAATACACATAACCAATTCATAAAATCGATTTTCTCGGCATTTTTTTTTCATTTCAATTATTTTCTTCCTTTTCAAACAAACCAACATAATTATATGGCGCAAACGTGTCGATTTAGGTAATTGGTATTGATTAAGACAAACAATCGATGCCAGATGAGCATAATTACTATTATGCTTATTATTATTTAATGCTTCACTTCAGTCGGTGCCTTTTTTTCTTTCGTTGAATTGGTTCTATCTTTGTCGGGCACCAGGTTTTCTTTCGAAATGAAATGAAATTGGTGCAATCAATTATTATCTTGTTAGTATCTCTTTTTTAAAATTGTTCGATAATAATAAAACGTTTAGTGAACAGTGAAAATTGGAAGTGTGCCTTAGTGATATGGTGATGAAAAAAAAACACAAAAGCCACGCTGAGACAAAGTGCAGAATATTAAATCAAAAATCAATTGACCAAAATGCAAACGAATATGCAAAGCAGAAAAAAAATAGCATCTTAAAAACTGATTTATTTCCATAAATTTTGCATAATGCGCTGATTTGTCGCTCAGTTTTTGTATATGCCATTGTTTTTCTGTTCAGATAAAAGTGAGCAAATTATTCGCAGTGGTGTGGCTTCTATTCACAAATAAACAAAAATATTACGATATATTTAGACATTTAGCTTCACCAAACGACAAGAAAATGCAATAGATATTACGTGTACGCTTAACAAACATTCATCAACAACAAAATCGAGAATGCAGTCCAACATGTATAGAGCAAGTGTGTGTACTTCTGAGCAAATACACAAACACTTGCCGTATACAGTAATTGAGAACGGTGAGTTTTCATTGTATATAGCACAGGTGATAAAGTGATTTAAGGTCGATTGTTTGCATTCGATATGTCATTTTATTAGCGCTCCTCTTCTATATCAACGACAAATATGCATGTACAATCGATCAGTCAGTGAAAATTAGAATAGCGTAAAAATAAACAAAGAAGAAAAAAAATACCCAAAGAAAGCATTAATCACATAAAGTAATAATTACATAAATACAAACACTTAGAACAAAAGAAGAATAATAAAAAATTAAACAAACAATAATGATAAATTGTAAATTAACCGAAATGGGAAAAACCCCACAAATCGTGTCTAACTTGGATTTCTATTTTTTTTTGTGTGTTGATGTTATTAGAATTGATTTTTAAACATACTGACAACACTTTTGTTTTGAAAATGTTGTTTGAAGCACTCTTGATGCATATCTAAATAAATTGTATGGTGTAATGAAAGAGGTGTGCATGTTGTCAGTATGTAAAAAAATGCCAAAAAAATGTTTCTTGCTCACCAGCACTGGTCCGCGGTTTGGTCCTTTGTGGTTTATTGCCGGCCGATGATGACGATGACAGTGACGACGAATGATGATGATGATGATGATGGGAATGAATTGGCGGACTTAAATTCGATCGCATATTGCCAATATTTGTACCACCAGCACTGGACGCATTTGCGCTGTGAAATGATCCAGACGCTGTGGGTACATTGCCTGCTTGATGATAGCTTTGGTAGCTATTCTCATAGCCGCTTCCACTGTTTCCATATACACTTTGTGCATTATCGAAAATTCCACCATTTAAGGAACTACTTTGATTACTACTACTATTCGTATTGTTATTATTATTGCTATTCGAACTGTTATTGTTATTGTGTGTATTGGTATTGCCACTTGATGATGTCGTACCTTCACGTTGTTTCGGTGCCGATGATTGACTTGTACCATTTTGTTGTATCGAAGGTTTTATATCTAACGATGAACAATTGTCAGTTGATAATGAGGTAGTCGATGATGCTTGAGCTTGATGCATAAACGCATTCACTGCGGCCTGTGAAATTAAATGAAGAAAATTTCAAAAAAAGATAAAAAATTCGAATTTTCAATCAAGTTAATTTGATCTAAGGGATCACTGACAAATTTGAAAAAAAAAAAAAAGAATTTCGTTACATACTTGATACTCGGAAGGTCCTGTTTGTACTGAATCAGGTGTTGAATCTTTTGGTGGTGTTGGCGGAAATGAAAACAAGTGTTGACCTGTTTGATGACTTTGTACTACTTGACCAACTTTGTCTTGTGGCTCTTGAGGACAAGCAAATGGGCTACCCCATGGACTGCCTGGTGCTAATGATTTTGGTTCGCTGAGCCAAGGATGTAATGGCGCATGAAAATGTGGCCTACAAATCTGTTGTGTGCTGTGCGAAGTTGTCATTCTTGATGCTGAAATGGTACGACAAAAGAAAATCAAAATTAAAATGTTATTTCTCTAAAAATCTTTCGTTTTTTTTTTTATTTAAATCATAACTAATAAATTGATGTTGACTTAAAATGAATAAATATGCCAATGAAATGTATTCATCATCATATATCTTATGGGCATTATAACACACGTTATGCCGACAATAATACAAACACTTTACATTAATTTTAATCCGTATATAATTATTTATTGTGAAATAAGGAAAGGTGCAGCATTTCATATTCCGCAAACACCCGACCCAACCAATATGAAATGAAGAGGCGACTATTTTAATACATAATAATGTACTTCCATAATTTATTCATTGTCCATATGGAAAATAAATAATGATCGTTAAAAATGGTATTATGAATTTAATGTGGTGCACTCTCTTATATGCAGGCCAACAACGATATCGCGTTGGTCAATGTGCTGTATAGTTGCCATCCATCCAGTATGTGTGTGCTGACGGAACGTTTTGCACACTGGTTATTATCATAATAAATACACACTGGGAAACAATTCAACAAAAATGGCTAAACACTCATCGAACTCATATCACCATTGAATATGTGTGTATGTGGATCGAAAAATTTGTATGTACGGCGTGAGTAAGTAGTTTACGATTACTTTATTGTCTCTCTCTCGTGTTTTCAGTATGATCCACTATGATGCTCGATACACAGCGGTTTTGCTTATTTAGGTGCAATGCAGTGACCGCGATTCTTGTCGAATATTTTTTTTGCTTTGATTTTTGTGTTGTTTTTGTTTGACTTGAGGCGATTATGATAAAACAACGGTTTAGGCATAATGTCAGTAATAATATATATGACTAACACCACTTATTATTGCTATTATTCACCATCCTCTTGACCAAGCAACCATGATTCTTTTGCACGGTACTATATGCATTGACGATAAAGCATCAACAATAATATGAATATAAAAAAAAACTGTACCATCATCCGTTCAACATCAACTTGATCCGCAACTAGTGCGACTCATTGTCACAATTAAAGCAAATCATGAAAAGAATGTTGCTCGAAAAAATACATATCATATACGATTACCTCATACACACCGCGCGACCGATGATGACGACAAACGGCCGGTGTCGGTATTCGGTTAAATTGAGTGTCAGTTTTATTGAAATGGCCATAGAAATTGCAACGCTTTGGAAATGGAATATAATAATAATAAGTGAAAAACTACCAGAGGAGAAATTGCCATAAATTTAGTGCCTTCGATATGTATGTATTATATATATTTTAAATAATGCCATTGTGCACCTTCCTATGAAGAATGTAAGCGAGATCGCGACGTTTTTCCATCGCAATTCTGTATAATTTTCTTTCACTGTTTTATTGGCAGCCAAGGATAAACACACAGAGTACACATAGTTTTATCGAAGATTGCAACAAATCGCTTTTAATATCGTTGTAGTTGTAGTGATTTTTTTTTTCTCTTTTTTCTTCTGCATCTCAGAGGTTCAATGAAGAAGAAGAGAAAAAAAATGATTATGGAATGTTATACAAGGTGATTCTTTGGATTTTAGCTCATGCATCACAAATTGTCTTGGGGCCGTCTTACTTTGTCTGAAACTTGAGCAAAAATGTGTGCTCTCGTGTGTCGCACAGAACATATAACATACGGAACTTTTCGTAAGCAAGTCATAAAAACACAAAACCATTTATCATGCACTCACTAATTTTGTACTGATTTTCCGGCGTACGAGAGCGAAAAGAAAAAATCAATCATCCTCATGAAATTCGAATCGAATTCGATATACTTTTCGTAGTTAAGACAATGAGAATTTCTAACAAGCGTTGCATGCAATGTTTTCGAAAATAATCAAATGACTTTGTTTATTTTACAAAGTCTAATATATTTTGCAATGATTATGAATTCAAAATCCCATAATGATACACTCGCCATCCAGATCAGAGATGTTAACAACCAACATATGGACCTCGACTTGAATTGGCAAAGGAAGCAATGCAATTTCATATCAATCGATCCATCGATGAATAATTGCCGTTGAATGAAATATTACATCATCTAAATCTACCGCGCGTATTTCAGGATTATCAATGTCCTCCAGCAGAATGTATACGTTTACATATTTCTTACGATCTTCGGTGTTGCAATATCAGCATTCTTAGCGGCACTGAGCATAAAAAAGACTTTGAAGTGGTAAGATGATTGAGAATCATTCATACGGAAAAATAATGCATAAATCAAACAAAATGTGTGACCATGTGTATAAATTACAAATTATCAATCATTTTGATATCACATATCAAGTGTGATATACACAGAGCGAACTACTTCAGATGTAGTTTTGACTGCGCTTATCTCTCGTGAAAATAACAACAAAAAACAGGGGGTAAAAGGCCTTCAAGACAACTTGAGAAGAATAAAACGTATAAACAACGAAACGATACTTAAAATAAGATTACATGACTTTTGGCACAAATGTGCAGCACAGAACAATGATTTGCTAAGGAATTCATTTAATTGTTTGTAGTAATAACGAAAACAAAAAGCCTATTAGACGACCATTGCGCATAATATTTTTTTTTATTTTTTTGAGAAAAAAAAGTAATATTCGTGTTGCTATTGTGTTGAGCTTCGGTGGCCTACGTACATGTGGCAAACAGCATTGAGTACAAGAGCGTTGTTTACCATAAGCTAGATACATTTTGAACCGCTTCCTCGTTTTGTTATTCCAAGTTGTTCGGTTTCAATTATAGTTGTTGGTTTATTCATTTGGACAATTGTCGAACATTTGTGCTTATTTGTTTTTGTTGTTGGGTTATTGTTGTTGTTGCGGTGTGTGTTTTTTTTATATCAAGCTTATGCTCATGCTTTTGTGAACATTCAAACATTTTATGCAATTCCTTTGTTTCATTCTTCTTTTAATTTGAAGCAAAATGCCAACAATTGCAAAACCAATTGGATTCCAATAACTGCTACACTACATTGCATAATAAATGGACCAGAAACCTTTCTACATGTTTGGCCATTTTGTACGTTGTTCGAGTACACTATGAATCAAGTACAAATTGGTGTTTTTACACTACATTAAAAATGCGATTTGCGAAAATATATCCAGAAAAATTGATGAATGCCCTTCAAAATCTTTCTTTATTATTATTATTATTTCAGCGAGTTCTTTTTTAATTTTCTTGCCCGCAGAATTGCATTTAAGCATAACATTAATGTGTCTGGAAGATTTTTCATTTCTCTTTTTTTATTCAAATAAATTTTCGCAATTTTTCCTTGATTTTGTGTATGATTCTTCATTTTTTTTAAATAAAAAATGAGCATATTTATTCAATTTAGTTCCAATTAAAGTTGCATCTTCTGCTTCAGTTTTATTGGACTGAATGAAAACGTTAATTAGCCGACAGACGAACTGTTTTTAGCTGCATTAAATCGCCTTGCTTTATAAAAAATCATAATTATATGTTGGCTGGTTGTGCCAGACCGTGCGCTAAATGCATTTTATTGTTGTGGTTTAATTGATAAAAGCATAAATCGCCGCACGCATTCGGCATTATTTTAAGCAATTGACGCGCGAGCTCACTCTCATTCGGCATCCAGTTGCAACTCTATTTATGTGGAATGTTCATGAAGAAAGACAATTTTCACTCATCAGAGTTCATCTCTGACATATTTCTTTGCCAGCCGGCTAATGTTATAATTTCTTTGGAATAGCCGAAAAAAGTATATAATTGAAAAAACATGAGAGTAACAATCGTGAACAATGGCAGGACATTTGATTTAATGCGCAATGTATCGAGTGTTATGCAGCTGAGAGAATATTGCATTTGTATTATTATTTTGTTTTTATCCCTGACAGATAATTATGACATAAAGTTCCGAGAATTTTGGCTTGAAATGCACTCTACACTTTCCCCACCAACGCTCAATTTATTCCATGCATTTTCCTCGTTCAAGAGTCTTGAATCAAGACAATCATATTTCATTGGATTCAGCTGGTGATGATATTGTTGTTTGCATTAAATAACTCTTCTCTCATTCATGCAGTATTTCTAAATGCCACCTTCTGCGGCTTTGTTTCAGAAGTTATGTGTTTGTTTATGAAAAAACTAACAACAACTTTTTTTTAGTGCGCCTCTCTTCTTTCTTTCTTTCCTGCTCACTCTCTCATTTTCGCTTCGTTTCGTTTGAAGAAATTCTGAATATATCCAAATGCTTGCGCGAACGGCTTCTTATTGCTAAGATTGTAAAGTGTGTGTGTGTGTGCGCTAGTATTTGTGTTGTTGTTTTTTTTCCCAATGGAATTTTGTTCAAGTTTCATTAAGTTCTTTACTTATGAGAGACTCATTGTTGTTGCCTTTTTTATGTGTACACGCTTTTTGATTTAATACAATGCGCACGATGGATGCGAAAGAACGAGCGCGTACACAGGCTAATCAACATTTTTATGGTGTTTCTCTCTGGTGTGTTTTTTGCCATATTCGTGTGTACGTATATTCATAGATACGTATTACAACATTAAAGTGTGGCACTGAGATCATTCTTTCTGTCCTGTTCTGTCCATTCGATTCATTTTACTATTCTCGGCGATTTTCTTTCTCGGGAAATTTGATTTAATAAATTACTTTTACTTTATTTCGACGTAATGAAATGATATCCAACATTATTTATTGAATTATTATTTCATTTTCGTGGATTGAATTTCTAATTTGATGGGAACAAATGAAACACTTTCGTCTTAATTGAAATTTGACACAATTTTTTTTGTTTTTGAAGTGTTTTTAGTAACAAGAATTAAATAAATAAATAAAAAATGAATTTTGAATGGAGAATGTGTGAGCATTGTTTATGCTATCGCTATTGTCATTATTAAATTCAAAACAATTGACATCCAACCGTTTTACAGTTAAATTCAAAGAGATAAAGAGACACAGAGAGAAAGAGAAACAAACATCAATTTCAAGTCCTTTTGTCC